ATTAAACCGCTCATGAGAATAATTCAAATTTTATTTATTAGCCTACTTCAAAAAAGGAGAAGGTTATCAATTCTTCGAAATATATTTGTTTTTATGTATTGTCACCGCATAACATTGGATCACATTAACCGATTTCTATGATTGTGTCTTTTGAGGAAAGGTGTTCGGGATCTAAATCCGATCATTGTATCACGAAGAAATCAACTATAATCTAAAATTCTTATATGAGAATGGAAGCAGGTTTTGTTTTTTGCTTAAAAATTACTTGTACATATTAATATCTACATATATTTATCATCAGCTTTTTTAAAACGATGGTAGTGTTGAAACCTCTTTGTTTTCACAGGNAAGAATAATTCAAATTTTATTTATTAACCGACTTCAAAAAAGAAGAAGGGTATCAGTTCTTCGAAATATATATATATATATATGTATGTCACCGCATAACCTTGGATCACATTAACCGATTTCTATGATAGTGTCTTTTTTTTTAAGGAAAGGTGTAGGGTTTAGATCCGATCATTGGATTACGAAGAAACCAACTATAATCTAAAATTCTTATATGAGAATGGAACTAGGTTTTGTTTTTTGCTTAAAAATTATTTGTACATATTAATATCTACATATATTTATCTTCAGCTTTTTTAAAACGATGGTAGTGTTGAAACCTCTTTGTTTTCACAGGCGTTTTTAGTAATGAACATTAGCTGAATCTCGTCCTTTTTCACATTATCAACGAACTTGCAATCGCCAAACATCAACTCATCACTGTTTATTTGAAGAAAATATAATTAAGTATTAATTTAAGTACTTTAGCTGACAGTATGATTTTTCTACCTCCTCGAGGCGAAATTGCCTAACATTGTTACGAATTTTTGTGAAATTAGTTTCTCATCAGCTCGAATTTTCGATCTTCCCGAATTACTAAACATAAGAAAGAAGTCGTCTCCATGAACCGTACCTACAAAAAAGTAGTTTTTAATGAAACCTTAGTATCAATAAATAATGTATGTATTTGTTTTCAACATACCCATTTTTACGTCCCTACGATGTGATAATGCCTGTCCTATGCCCTCATCAGCAGGGTTGTCGTACACATAAGCGTAGATGGGACTACGTCCGCGTGCGCGCTGCAAGCGTATTGCTTGCTCCACTCCGTTTCTGAAGAGCACGTCCGTATACATACGCTGCACATGTGAGTACGTGTCAATGGAGAATTCTTTATCACCTAAATAGCGACGTTTTAACGCAACAGAATAGTCATCCATTTGCTCTACACTCTTCATAGTGTCCTTATAAAATAAATTGTATGGCGCCAAGTCATACCAACGGTCGTTAAAAACTTCGATCAGCTCCTCCCTACGCGGTGAGCGTTTTAACAACTCTGCAGCATTGTAACCACCATCCTGTGCTGCATAGGACACTAGCCAAGGCAGTTGTGCGAAATTGCCCGATTCAACTATATCCCGCGGGAAACGCGTTAGAAACGCATCCTTGACTGCTCCGTCTTCTATGCTCGGCCCAAATGTGGTAAACGGATTATAGCCGAAGACCAAAAATTGTTTGACGCCACGCACAATCGCCGTTGCTGGCTTACGTTGTAAACATTCTTTAATTGATTGTGAACTACTTACATCTGGACAATTGAGATTTTTGGCCAATTCAAATGCACGTTCGCGAGTCTTATGGCTAATCGCCCACGGATTAAATGCAACACCACTAAAAGAGGCAGCCACGCGCGCATATTCTGTTAGATTGCGATTAGCCAAAATATGCAAATGCACAGCCACACCGCCTGAAGAGAAACCCAATAACATAATGCGCTCTGGATCACCACCAAAGCAAGCAATATTCGCCTTAATCCACTGCAGCGCCAAACGTTGGTCTTTCATGCCAAAATTACCCGAAATAACAGTGTCTTCCGTGCTGAGAAATCCAAGCGGACCAAGACGATAGCCCATTTTAACCACTATTACGCGACCGTTACGCATAAAATGCTCATGACCATTTGCGCGCACTGAACCAAACATAAAAGCGCCGCCGTGTATAAGCACAAGGACTGGAAGAGAAGCTTGTGTGCAGCCAACCTCGACTAGCAACTTTGGTTTGTAAACATTCACAGTGAGACAATCCTCAATGCCATGCAGCTTATCTACGCCAGCTTTGTACTGATCCCATTGCATGCACTCGATGGGTTCACGTGTCGCATCGAACGTGTCTGACCAATTTCCCGAGTATGGCCTTGGTGATTCGAATCGCAATGGGCCAAGTGGTGGTTCTGCATATGGAATCGATTCATAACTGTAAAAGTAATCGTTGTCTCGGCCACGTATTCTGCCATTAGGTAAATCAACAATTAATGCATTATCAAACTCATTTGTATTGGCTCCAGATATTTCAGAGAACAAAGCGTAAATTAAAACCGTTATGTAGAAAGGAAAAAATTGGAAATGCATTCTGACGCGTGGTCAATAATTGACTGACTACGAAATGTTTTAAGCTTCAAATTAATTAGCTGGATTTGTATGTAAGTATGTATAACATTTGTACATTTATAGAATTTGCATAGTTGCATATGTATTTGTGTAAATATTTTGTATTTATTTTCGTTTTCTAAAGAAAGTGACTGAGCGCAGCAAGAAAATACTCTATATATTTTTTGCTTCTATATGCCAAATCTACCTAATATACCTAATTAATCCTATTTTTTTGTATGTTAGTATATAGCCTAAGGATTAGTAAACACCAAACTGTAGTAAAATAGTAAAGTCATCGATACTTTTGATTTCACTTTCAAGCTAAAACTTTCGCCTCGTACATATGTATGTATTATCATATATATAGTATGTACTAATCGTATTTGCTAATTTAATACTAGGTTCACATATAAGTAGATTATCCTCATTTTCGAGCTTAACATCCTAATCTGTAATTATAACAAGAGATTAGCCATATAAAATTCGTCCCTTGTTAATCTGTAATTATAAAATAATCTCAGATTTAACCGATAACTTTTCGGTGCCCATCCTAGTTTTATCGATTGTTTTTGCGAAAAAGAGGAGAAATACCAAATGTAAAAGTAAACAAAAATGTACGCTAGCAAGTAAAATAGGTTTGCAAAGGTATTTTTAATAAAATTTTAAGTTAAAATATATTTATATTGCTTATTATAGCAGAAAAACGTGATCACGGTGGCACAGAGAAGCAACATAACTTTTCCTTGAGATGTGAGAATAACAAGCACAACAAATTTGACGGCTAATAATCTGAGATTTGCCTGTGTAAACGGGGTGATTAAAAAACGAGCTTTGATTGAGATAATATTGATATGTGAACATAGTTTAACAAACAATGCACAGCATCTTATCTCAACATAGACTCTGACCTTTCCAAACATTTGCTGAATGTATGTACATTAGAGTGGCCCAATTTTTGTATAGGAAAAAAAATCATCCCAGAAAATGGGGCACTCCCTTAGTTTTTTCCTTTTGATATTTGTGATGTCTATACTAACTTTCAGTTTTCTACTGCAACCAATACAGGGTGCTCAATAACCTTGAAATGCGTTACTGGATAGCTGTGAAACTGGTAAAAATATTGGTGATTTTTATAAAAAGCTACTGTTGCCATGACAATTGAAGCTTGTGATATTTTAATAGATAATTTAAATTTGAAATGTTCTTAGGTTAAATAACCAATTATTTAATTAATATATGTACACAATACTTCCAGAGTAAAATATGAGCATCATGAGCAACCTCTAAATGGATACTTAGAAACTTAAGGTTTGGTACCAGTACCCCCAAACCCTGTCTGGGGATTTTTTTTTTTTTGGACCACTCTAATGTATGTACATACATATGTATTGTGTATAAAAGCATATGTACATGTTTCCATGTATTTACATATATATAAGCAAAAATACATAAAGCTTTGCATAAAATCAAGCTTTCATTTATAAAATATGTGTATAAAATATGTATGTTATGTATGTATGTACATACATATTTGCATTGTGATTAATTTAGAGTCTCGCCTTCCTCGCATATTAATATTAAATCATCATTGGCTCCTTTCATGAATGTTCATATTTAGTAAAGAAAAATATTCAATTAAAATACTATAATCGCTTGATGGTCTTATCTAAACGGGACAACCAAAACTCATATCTCAAACTATAATAAATTCTTGATATTAAACCTCTAAATGTAAGAGAAGTTATAGCTTGATTACAAAAAAAAACAACTATCGTAAATTATTTTGAGCGCAATCAAACTAGATAAGCACCTGGTGGTTTCATAATCTCAAAAAAAAAAAAAAATCATAAAAAGTCTAAATTAAATATACAAATTGCCACTGACAATCACCATTAGGTGCGTTGCATTTTTGGCGTTCAAAAAATAAAACAAATTCCGTTTGAAATTTATTACGAATATTATTTTAGAGTATTTAAGTAGTAAATACAATAAATATTTATTTGTATTTGCATCTTTTACATTACTAATATACATATTTTTTTTTTTTTGTGTATAAGTGTTACTTAAAAAATGCAATCGGAAAAATATCATTTAATATACGCGAAACGTTTCTATCAGCATTTTTTTCGGAAGATGCATACTGCAAAAGGCAAATCAACATGCCTGCTTAAATTTGCAAATAAAATTGCCTTTATAGTTTGAAAAGCGTTTTTCATCGAAAAAATTTATTTGCTTTTCAATTGGTAACAATTTTTTAACATAGATAAACATGATTAACAGCAATGCAAAGCATTTTCATCAGTATAGCACGAATCTGAAAAAATTGGCACAAAATATTCATAATATCTTTTATTAAAATGAGTTGAACTCGCGTACAATAGAATCGCGGCTAGTCTAATTCAAAAATCACCCACAATATAACCCCCCACTCTGTATGTACATATGTATGAATTTACCTACATACAGCAATGCTCATGAAAATAGCAGCGCAACGTATTGACAAGTTTTGTCAATCTAATTTCCTTTTTTTTTAATTTTAATATGTTTATAAAAACTCAACAAGTCCCAACAAAACGGTATACAACCTTTTTTATCAGAATGTTAAAAAAACTTTTAAGTATGCAATTTTATAGTTCATTAAAATTTAGTATATAATATAGTGCAAGTTTGAGGTGGTTGAAAATTCGCGTTGATTTTTTGAATTTTTTTAGTTTGACGGTGTTGCGCCTTTTCTTCAATATAAAAGTGACATAAAGACATAATTTTATATTGAAGAAAATTCCTTGATCGGCAGCAAAAATAGTAATTCAAAAACCCTAGCCACTTGAAACTTGCACTTTGTTATACAAAAATGCATTTTGGAGAGAAATTTATAATTTTTGTAGAAAGTTTGAAATTGTGAATGTATGTTTATAAAAAAAAAAACTTAACTAAAAAAACTTGTTAATACGCCGCGCTGCTATTTTTGTTAACACTGCTTTTTGAATAAGTATGAATTAAAATTTGTCCACTTAATGTTGGGCTTTCCCTATTATAATCCGTATTTAATGGTGCTTCACATTCTAAACATTTACAGCCAAATTCATAAAAAATAAAAAGGACTTTAACCCGCTTTGTAAATCGTAAATTTGTATGAAAATGTCACTTTATAGAGCTATTTAAACCTATTTTACTTTTTATGAATACGGCCATTAATGTGTGCGCTATGTGATTTTAAAGTTTACCTGTTCCTAATAAAATTAAATATTAAATATTAAAGCATGCGCAAGTAAAATTAACACTATACTCGATCTCTAAGATAAATAATTTTACTTCAAATTTTTTAACGTCTAGTTTATTCCTCCGGTGTCCAAAGTAAATGTTTATGCTCTAGACTCTTCAGCAGTCAATGCTTTTGTGTTGTTTTGTTAACATACAATGTGCATATTAACAATAATATGACATTTTAAACTTAAATTCTAAAGGGTTTCCCACTAACAATATCAATAAGTACATTTACTTACATACACTTTTTATATATGTACAGTGGGATTAGGGCAAATAGGTTTAAAAAATACATTTGAACTTTGCCCGCGTTATCTCCATTTGCATAATTTATAGAAATTCAATGCGGTTGCAACGAACATCATACGACGTTTAAATACAATTATGGCTATATACATACATACGTTCCCAAATAAAAGAATAAAAAATCTCGTAATTGTTCGGTCTATCGCAAGTGCATGTGCATGCAAACGCATTTGAATTACTTTGACTTTGAATCCGTTTTCGACTCTGACCCATACGACGAAGCTTTGCTGATTTTAGACATATTGATCGACTTAATCATAAGCATGTAAACTGCGAGCATGGAAGGAAAAATAGAATTTAAACCAATATGCCAAAGCAATACATCAATCGTTGTTACTTACTCGTCAAAAGTACGCCGAGAGCAATTGAAAGCCCAATCCAATTTTGCGAAAGAAACGAAGACACTAGATAGTAGAGTATTAGTGATATCGAGAATATAGCCCAACAAGCAAAGTTCAGCAGACTACATGTGCGATATTTGAAAACAGTAACTGGCACCTCTTTAATGCCAGAGGTTTCACAGAAATTGCCTGTTGTAAGGAAGCTGTCGACAAGGCGATCCTTTTCGCGGTACAAGTTATGTAGCCATTCGGCAGCTGCTGTCTCGTCTTCAGGCACACTCTCGAGTGGAATACGACGTGCAAACATGTGGCCTTCCACCGGCAGTCCATTTAGTAATGTGGAAATAGTCGGCGAATTCTGTATAAAGATGAGATATTAAGGAGTTTATTGCATTAATTCATTTATGTTAACTGCCTGCATATCTATCTATTGCAACATTATGCACGCACCTTGGCATCCCTCTTGAAAGCCAGAGTAGTATCATAAATAGCTACACAGCGACCACGCATGGTCGGTAAGCTGGTAGTGAAGCCCTTCGTACGTGGTACCAGGTGGTGCTTTAACACAGGCAAACCACGTTCCTGCGCAAACTTAACAGAGGCTTCGTGTTTCTTCGGCGTGAATCGCGTACCCTCAGCATTCAGCAACAGCCATACTGGATCTGGATAATCGAATATCTCTTTAAGCTGGCGTGCAATTATCTCGCTATCCTTGTCGAATGAACGTTCCAAAAACACAAATTCAGCAAACTTCCATGCCCAACCCATCACTGGCACATATGAAATGACTTTCTTGGCATATGCCTTGCAATTACCCAAGCAGCCAACTTTGTCGGCAAACATCCAGCCACACAGCCAATCGATTTCATAGGAATGATTCTGAATTATCATTACATGTTCCTTGCCACAGAGCTTCTCCAAGTCATTCGGATCCATGTACAAATGTAAATTACTATTCGCATACCATTCAGCGACAAAGATCAATTCTGAAATATAAAACGCATGCGTTATGTTAAATGTTAAAAACATATATGTATGTATGTACATATGTACACTTGTGGTCAGCTGATTAGGCTTAGTTAAGTGACATTTGGACCCGTTGTGGCTTTTTTCTGTTGTTTATTTAATGTTTATAATTTTTTTATAAAAGTCCATAACCAGCACCACATAAATCGACATTTCAAACTTCGTGGAAAAATTATAAAAATTCAAGCTAAACATTTTAAGTTTTTATTCAGAATTTTTAGAAAATTTTTAGGTATGTAGTTTTATAGCCCCTTAAATTTTAGTAGGTTAAAGCGCAATTTTCAAGACGACAGAAAATCTAGTTGGTTTTTAATAATTATTTTGACCGACGGTATTGTGCATTTTCTTCCATATAAAGCAAAAAAAAAAAAAGAAAAAAAATCAACGCAATTTTCTAGCGTCTTGAAATTTGCACTTTAATTAACCTACTAAAATTTAAATGGCTAAAATTAAAAACAAAACAAAAATAGGCAAAACTGATCAAAGTGTTACTTAACTTAATCAGCCGACCACAAGGGTATGTTATTATACCTAGTACAGGAACTTACGTGAATACAGCGAGTAGCAGAGGTAATACATGATGTGTCTGAAGAGCTTTGTATTGAAGGGTTTCAATGCCACATACAATATCAATTGCACCAGATTAATTATCAAACCAGACACAAAAAATGTCACCGCGATGCCCAAATGCACAAGCGTTAGCTTTTTAAGTTCCACCAAAGAGATCATGATTGACGTAATTTGTTCTTAATTCTTCGACTTGAACTTTGAATTCATGTAAAAAAAACTGTAAAAACAAAAGCCAGACGTTTGTTGTTGAGGCTAATAACCGATAAGAATTCAAAAATTACATTGATAAAAATATTCTAGGGTTTATACATACATATATATGCACATATACGTAATACATACATGCATACGTAATACATAATTGAGTATGTATGTATGTATGTACATACATATGTATGTATATCAGTCTCTAATCGAAACTTGATTTAGTTTTAATTTTTCATCTAAAATGCGTTGATTGCATAAAATGAAAACAAACCCTGGAGCACGGAGCACTAACATTTTCCAGCCTTACCCCAGAGCTTAATGGTATTATTATCAATCAATCAAATTACGGCCAGCTCACTTATTCTATTTTATCTTTTTTATTCTATTTCTGGCATCACCGACGATTTGTGCACTACCGATCGCTGCAAATGAACATGAAAGACTAAAATTTTCTCCAAACAGGTATCAGT